TAGTAGCTGTAGTACCTGTAGTAGCTGTAGTAGCCGTAGTAGCTGTAGTACGTGTAGTACCTGTAGTAGCTGTAGTAGTAGTTGTAGTACCTGTAGTAGCTGTAGTAGCTGTAGTACGTGTAGTACGTGTAGTAGCTGTAGTAGCTGTAGTAGCTGTAGCACCTGTAGTAGCTGTAGTACCTGTAGTAGCTGTACTACCTGTAGTACCTGTACTACCTGTACTACCTGTGGTACCTGTAGTACGTGTAGTAGCCGTAGTACCTGTAGTAGCTGTAGTACCTGTAGTACCTGTAGTAGCTGAAGTAGCTGTAGTAGCTGTTGTAGCTGTAGTAGCTGTAGTACTGGTAGTAGCCCTGTAGTACCTGTAGTAGCCGTAGTAGCTGTAGTACCTGTAGTACCTGTAGTAGCTGTAGTAGTAGTTGTAGTACCTGTAGTAGCTGTAGTAGCTGTAGTACTTGTAGTACCTGTAGTGCCTGTAGTAGCTGTAGTACCTGCAGTAGCTGTAGTACATGTAGTAGCTGTAGTAGGTGTAGTAGCTGTAGTAGCTTAGTAGCTGTAGTACGTGTAGTACGTGTAGTACCTGTAGTAGCTGTAGTAGCTGTAGTACCTGTAGTAGCTGTAGTACCTGTAGTAGCTGTAGTAGCTGTAGTACCTATAGTACCTGTAGTAGCCGTAGTAGCTGTAGTACCTGTAGTACCCGTAGTAGCTGTAGTAGTTGTAGTACCTGTAGTAGCTGTAGTAGTTGTAGTAGTTGTAGTACCTGTAGTAGCTGTAGTACCTGTAGTACCTGTAGTACGTGTAGTAGCTGTAGTAGCTGTAGTAGCTGTAGTACGTGTAGTAGCCGTAGTACCTGTAGTAGCTGTAGTACCTATAGTACCTATAGTACCTGTAGTACCTGTAGTACCTGTAGTAGGTGTAGTAGGTGTAGTACCTGTAGTATCTGTAGTGTCTGTAGTAGGTGTAGTACTGTAGTAGCTGTAGTAGCTGTAGTACCTGTAGTACCTGTAGTACCTATAGTACCTGTAGTAGGTGTAGTAGGTGTAGTAGATGTAGTACCTATAGAAGCTGTAGTTGCTGTAGTAGGTGTAGTATCAGTAGTATCTGTAGTAGGTGTAGTACCTGTAGCATGTGTACTACCTGTAGTATCTGTAGTATTTGT